AGCAGCAATAAAAAGAACAAAGAAGCAAACCTGACGGGACTTGTGACTAATGACATTGACATAAAACAATTCGACATTTGAGCTGTTTTTTAGCGTAGAACTGTATTCAATGATGGTTTGAAAACATATTCGATATTACGTCATGATTTAGATGGTCGCCAAAATGGTATATTTTTGTTTTGTTTGTTGACTACTCTCCTCTTTGATAGAAACCACTAGCCAGTGTTATTTTACTTATTTTAGAGATTTCATGTGCTGAAAAGGTTGAAAAGTGACTTTTAGAATTTTTATTTTCATCTTATTTTTGAAATGGATTGCACTATACTCGCCCTCATAAATGAGGTGTATTTCGAGTCAGAATTGCAAAACTATTTTCTATTGAAACACCTGAGAGATAGATATGGAAGTGAGGAGGAATCTGTAGTTCCAACATTACTTTTATCTAAAAACTTACAGCATGTACGAGCACCAGATTATTATGAAGAGTGGCTACAGCAGTATCTCGATGAAGATTTTTTCAGTAATTTTCGTATGGCGAGAACCTCCTTTGAAAATCTGTTGATAGATATCCATTGCCCTGAAAGACAATTCATGGGCGGAGGGCAACCAGTTTCTACTGAGAAATGTTTGTTGATGTTTATTTGGTGGCTGGGAAAAGGGGATACGCTGATATCTGTGTCTGACAGATTCAATGTAGTCATATCCACAGTGTACAACTCAATTGAGTTGATTCTACCAAGAATCCTTGCACTGCAAACAAAATATATTTCATGGCCCAATCAGCAAGAAGCAGTTGATATTGAGAGAACATTCAGAGGCAAAAGCGGCTATCCAGGTGATAATTAGTAAAGTTTCAAAATTGTATGATATCTAAATGAAAGTTAATATTTTTCAGGGATTATTGGAGCCATAGATGGTTGCAACATCATGTTCAAGTGCCCAAACCTGCAGCAAGACAGCTATATAGATAAAAATAGAAATCATTCCATCAAGCTGCAGGGAATAGTCACCAGCAATGAGGTATTCACCAACATTTTAGTTGGATTTCCTGGATCTGCACATGATAGTCGGGTACTGAAATTTGTTTGGTTTTTTATACTAGATACAAATCATTTTTATCCTAGCTATTTATATATTTTCATTCTATAATTTCTCAATTGCAGATATTTAGAAATTCCAAAATCTATAGTGATGTTGAATACAATGGAATGTTTTTTTTTCAAGAACTTTATTCGAATAATGCAGCAATGGTTACAGTCACAGTTTCAAGTTATCTGGAATAACAACACTATTCAAAAAAGACTTTCCAAAGCAGCACTGACATGCTGGTCTCGGAAAACTAGCTTAACAATATACATAATTATCATATACAACAAAGACAAAATATACTATTGAAAATTCACTTAAGAATTCTATAATACCTTTGTAACTTAAAATCTAACAATTATTATGGGATAGAGAAATGAAGAGAAATGAAGAAGAGATTTATGCCGATCATTCATCAAGTATGCAGGTGTAAACATTTTTTATTTTATTCTTGAATATACTGATATAAGGGCTATCTGTTATTTCCTTTTGGGGAGAGTGTTATAAGTTTTCATGCATAATGTAATGAGATTATTTAGGCCAATATTAGTACGTACAGGTTCTAAAAAGACATTATTATGTGTTCGAGTATTGTATCCATGAAGCTGATTAACAATTGTAAAGTTAGTATTACATTTAGCTTGCTCATTTATAACCTTGTATGCAAATTCACCTTGTTCGATTTCTAGATTATTCTGAATAGGCAGTATCTTGGTTACATTGTATATGGTATCAGTTGAGGTTCTATAATCGAGCTTGAATAAAATTTTCACGACTTTGTTTTGAAGTGTTTTTATTTTTTTGAATAATTTCTGTCCACATGATCCCCATACAGGAATTAAGTAGCTGAATATGGATAAGAAATATGCACTGTATATTTGGTGGAGTGAGGATGGGCGTAAGTAGGTTCTACAATGATACAAGGCACTAACCATTGGAATTACTTTTTTTTTCTATATGGTTGATATGGTCATCCCAGCATATTGTTTCATCAACTATCAGTCCCAGATACTTGGTATTATGGACTGTCGATATTTCTTTGCCCCCTATCTCCACTATTATGTCTTGTAGTTTCATGTTTTTCTGAGAGAAAATGATAAAAGTAGTTTTTTTTACATTAATCTGAAGTTTATTTTTTGCAAGCCATCTGTGATATCTTTCAAGGTCAGTATTGACTATTATTTCAAGTTCTTTCAAGTCTTTACCCTTATATACAAGAACAGTGTCATCTGCGAATTTGAAGTATCTACCTGTAATGTTGGCAGATTTCAAAGACAGAACATGTTATGTATAGAGTAGGGGTCCAAGGACTGAGCCTTGGGGCACACCGGCTTTGGTATTTCCAGTTTGGATTGAAGAGCCATCAACTACTGTAAACTGTTCACGATGTTGAAGATATGTTTTTATCAATGAGTGAGCATTTCCTCTTGTTCCAAAATTATTTCTTCAATGACTATCATCTTATTGGGGATCAAGCTTATTCACTGAGAAAGTGGATATTGACACCTTATAGGTGTGCTCTAAACATTTTACATTTGTGTGTACATTTTTTAAATTTCAGGAATGAAAGAAACATAAGTCACATGCAAAGATACCACAATACAGCCCACAGTAAAACCAGGGTAGTGGTGGAGCATACTTTTGGCATTCTCAAATCTAGATGGAAGATACTGAAAGCTATCAATGTCAATTCAATAGAGAAGGCTATAAAAATAATTGCAACTTGTTGCATTTTACATAATTTTCGCTATGTAAACTCTGATATTTGGAATGAATTTGAAATAATTCCAAATTAAATCAACCAAGGAGATGAAATTGCTGAAATCAACATGGAGATTGAAGGAATGCTCAAAAGGGACAATATTGCTACTCATTTGTGAAGGAATCAAAATTAGTGAAATTGAATGTATTTTCTGTGACAAAATATAATTCTAGATCAACATGAGTTATTGATTCTCCTTCCATATACTATATAAAATAAAAAAAACAAATAAATTTCAAAAAAGTTTATTGAACACAATGGAAAACAACATATTTCCTAATATTTTTATATAAACTATAATAAAAGTAACAATATATTCAGCCTCTTTCAGTGTTGAACTAGTAGTTACTAAAAACAAAACATAAATACTTGAAAAAAAATGGTCTGGCTGCTACTATAAATGGTCAGTCACTTGCACGCTTACACTGATATTACATATGAAAAAGAAAAATAACATTACTCAAATAGGAACTCAAAATATCTTCCTGAAGAATATCCTCTATTAGTTTCATTCATCACTGCTGGAAGACCTCTTCCTTTTCTTCTTCTCTCCCATTTTATTAATCAGGCACATAATTTGCTTATTCCTCTGTTCATTTTGATCTTGGAACATTTTCATCATGGAGGAAAATTCTTTGTTTCTCATTTCTTGGTTTTGTTTCTGTATGAGAACTAATTCCTTCAAAGTGTCTAGTTTCTCTGGTTTAGGCCTTACTGTTCTTTTTATAGAATTGAATCTATTCAGTCCTTCAGGATTAGTGGAGCTACTTGTGGAGGAACTTGTGGCACTACCTTTATTAGAACTGGTGGAAGCACTCCCCCATGAACTGGTGACACTACTTCTGCCAAAACTTGTGGAAGTACTACCATGAGATGATGCACATTTTTGATTTGATTCTTCATTCTCAGCATTGACAAGAGGGGCTGCTGAGTCAATAATCAAAACTAGATTAACTTTGTGTTTATCTCCAAGTATTTCATCTAACTTATCAAAATATTTGGGTATTTTGAGTTTACCCTTTCCTGTTCTTTTTTGTGCATCACAATACTTGATATAAGTGGACTGCAGGTTAGCAAATTTCTGCCTCACTTTCTCCCTCCCATCTAAACCCTCTCCTACGAAAAATCCAGTTTCATTCAATTTTTGGGCAATTTTTCCCCAAATTTAATTTTTATGAGTTTTCTTGTCATTAAACTCATTATTATAGGTACGTCTCAAGGCTAATAGAGTCTGTGTAGCTTCATGGTCTTCCTCAGTTGGCTTCTTTGGACTTTTCCATAACTGGCACTGACTTTGGTTAAGACTTGGAACATCTGGAATTTCTTTAAGAATCTTCCGTCTGACAGCTGATATATATATATATTTGCAAACTCGGGATCTATAATTAAAAAATGAGAGGCCAATGAGGAAAAATCTGGGAAGAAATTAATAAATGGGGAATTGGGATGAAGAAATATCACCTACCTTTCAATTTTTCTGCAGTTTCTCCATCAACAGTTGTGCCGTAATCTCAGGTAGGGGAGTTCTTTGGCTTGAGTGGATTTTATTCTTGGTAGGGAACCAGCAAATAAACACGTACTTCAATAATAAACGCTGTGTATTTTGATATATCGCTAAAAATATGAGAAAATATAACGTGATAATATGCCTATTATTCCTTACCAACAACTATTGGGGGGCTTGATGTACTTAGCAGTGCTTACCAGGCCAGATATCGCTTTTGGTGCGAGTTTCTTAAGCCAATTTAATGTGAATCATAATGAAACTCATTGGAGATACGTCAAAAGGATATTACGTTATTTAAAAAGGTACAAAGAATTATAGTTTGAGATTTTCTGGTGAAAACACAGAACTTGTAGGTTATGTAGATGCCGATTGGGGTAATAATTCGCCAGATAGAAAGTCGTATACTGGTTACGCTTTCAAAATGTGTGGTTCTGTGATTTATTTCGCTAGTGTTAAGCAAAAGACAGTCGCATTATCCAGTACGGAGGCGGAATATATGACACTCTCAGAGGCTGCGAAGGAGGCTATATATTTACGCAATTTGATTTTTCAACTAACCGGAGAAATGCGAGTTGTTCCACTTTTTGATGACAATCAGAGTGCTTTGAACTTATCCTAGGATCCTGTTTACCATAAGCAGTCTAAAGGGTGGATTTATGCAGCACAAATTTACACCAAACTCCAACTTACATTTACACTTCAACTTCAACTAAAAAGTCAAACCTCTTGTTCGACATGGTTGATTTTATGCAGAGAAATTGAAACTAAACTCGAACTATCAAGTTGGCCAACTTTCAACTTTCTAGTGTAAATGTTAGTTTTTGATATTACTGCGCAATTGTTAGCGCTCATTTTAAATTGCGCGCGCGATATAATGGCTTGACAGATGAAAGAATTCACAATTTTATAACCTTCAAATTTATTATTGATGTTTGTCGGATTTTTTGCTCTTTATCAGTTTTTTTCTGCCAAAATAATTTCCAGTTGTGAAGTTTTCTTATTATAATGGCAAACGAGGATGGCCCATTGATAGATCTCATTCGCCAATATCCATGGCTGTATGATAAGCAGGAGAAACAATACAGAAACAAAAATGCCAAACAGAATGCTTGGCAGATGATCGCAAATATTTTGAAAACGAACCGTAAGTATTGTTGATTCAATTCTCGAAATGATATGGAGTTGCTCAAGAAGGCAATACTAGGATATTTTCCAATACATATCACAATTTTGTTTTAGCCGAAGATTGTGAACAGAGGTGGATAGTTTTGAGAAATCGCTTCTGCACAGAACTTAGGAATATGAAAACCAGACCATCTGGAAGCGGGGCAACCACTTCATCTTGGCACCTATTTGAAGCAATGAGTTTTTTGAGTGACTTCATCATCCCACGAAAGTCAGTATCACTGTTCTGAATTTAGAAACAATTTTCAAACAAGTTCTTATTACAGATCAAGAGGGAATTTCGCTAGGCCTCCACAAAAACACCAGACACAAGCTGATGTTAATCATGTTGACATATGGGATTCATACTCTACTATAATATATAATAATCAGTCCCAAGATTCAGACCAGCAATCATCTGATGTTGAGATGTCTACCCAAGAAACTGAAGGAACTTCTAGCACAGCTTCATCAAGTACTACTCAACATAATTTACCTTCATGTTCTGGTATTCAAACAAAGAATAACCAGAAAAGAAAAGCAAGTGAGGATGGAGATGTTATAACCAAAGAAACTGAAGGAACTACTCATCAAAATGTACCTTCATGTTCTGGTGTTCAAATGAACAATGACCAGAGAATGAAGGTGAACGAGAAGAGAAAAGTTATGACTGATATTGAGAATACTTCAAATCAGTTCATCAAAGATAAGAAGAAAAAAAAAGAAAAGTAGAAATGAAATAGCTGAGCTTGGCAGTGCTCTTCAGGGTGCCCTAACTGAATTCAGCCAATACATGCACACAAAAAATGAGAATGTGCAACCTAAGCCACCACAAGAACCAGAATCCCAAGATGAATTATTCGGAAAGCTAATTGCAGGATATTTATCTGAAATCCAAGAAGTCAGGGAGAAGCGCCTTGTCAAATCTAAGATTTTGGAGCTATTCAATGAATATTAGTAGTGTTAAGAGCTTGGTTAAAAGATATGTGATAACAAGAATTTTGTGATTTATTTAAAATGTTTTTTTTTTATGAGAAGTCCAGATTATGTTTTAATATTATTTATCTTTTTTTATCTCATGTGGAGTACAAATTTTGTTTATTTATTTTTTATTATAATTTTATCAAAGTATTCTATTGGATATATTCACCTGAATTTCAAACCTATGAGGCTATTTTAAATCTTGTGTCCCATAAATTGTTTGCCTTCAAATGTTCAATTGAGTATGCACATCCTGATTTTAGATTTTTTATCAGTTAATGAAAGTGGCACATACATACCTATAAGATTCCAAATTATTTTATCTAAGAGTATAATGTTAATACCTGTATCAAAAATTTTCACTTAAATCATCAGACATTTTTGAAAAAGTTCTTTTTCGTACTTCCGGGCCTAAAGTGACAACTTCACTCCCTTGTGACAGGTACTAAAGTGTCACATTTAATCCCTCCGGGATTAAATATTGACGAAACTGCCGGAACGATTAAATCACAAACAAACGAATTTAAGGGATATTTTATTGAAAAATATAATTAATTAGAATGGTAATTAACGTTAATATTCAAATTAATATTGTGACAGTTCGTCATATTAACCAGTCTTTCCTGGGTTAATGCAGCAGGTAACTGACGAGTAACAGATAGGTCCTTTTCATATTGAACTGGTGTTTGTTTCGAAGATCCTGCGGAAACAGGAAGCGAGAATGAGGACTGTGGCATAACTATAGTGGACGAATCGGCGACTTGACCAAATATTTTATCTGAAATTTTTTGTTTATTTTCAATAGACGATTCAATATATCCCTCGGCCACGTTGGAGGATTTCCATCCTCCATGTCTCTTCAGCACGTCTATTGTTGCTCCCGAATCAGCTAACAAAGACGCAGATGTGCGTCTAAAACAATGTCCCGTATAAGACGTCGCATTTTCTAATTTCAAGAAAGCTGCTATTTGCCGTGGAAATGTACCAAACATGTTTTTTCCTACCACTCGCGTAGTACATTCTTTGTTGATGTATTGAACAAAAAATTTTGAATGAGTTGTCCCTGTCTTTCGCAATGCCACATATTTCCGAAATATCGCCACAAAACTGATGGCACTGTTTTCTGAATTTTTGATCACAAAATTTCGGTCAATTTTATTTTTGGTGTTTCTAATCGCAATTAGGAAGGAATCGCCCAAATCTCTCACATCGTCGATTTCTAAATCAACCAACTCTTTTCCACGACCAGCTCCCGCAACGCCCAAAATAAGTGCAACCTACAAAAAAATTGATTTCTTAAAATTTCTGAATATAAACAAATTTCCAAATTTACCTTAAGCATTAAATATTTATCATCCGGAGCCTCCCGTAAGAACTGATCTACCTGCTCAGACGTGAGAATTCTTGACTTCTTTGGCTTAAATCCCTCATTTCTTCTCTTCAAAAAAGCTAATAATTTTGGAAATTTACTTATATCAATATCTTCTCTAATGTTAATAACCGATTTCAGCATTGAGTAATGTGCCCAGAGAGTTGAGGCACAAACCGCTTTTGATTTATCATCGAAGTAGACTAACAGCGCATTTTCAGGAGGTTGTCTCACATTTTTTAAGCGGCACCACTTTTTAAAAGCATCGTACTGCTGCTCGTATAGTTTTCTAGATTTCGGTGGTAACAATTCTTCACCTACTTCGGCTGCTCTTTTATCAATATTAGATACACCTTTTTCACTCATGATACCAATAATTATCAATAACAATGTTTCTTTACAATGACACTAGTAATGACAATGTTTCTAAATTATAACTGTCACAACGCAATGTTACTATGGTAACTTATTTTGAAGACAGTTTATTAAATGAGTTGAAGAGAGAAAAAACTGATTGAAATTATTGAAATAATTGATAAAATCATACCGGAAGTACGAAAAGTATCGTATATACCTTGCGACTGAAGTACATTTAATCCTTCAGGTAAATTATGGCCCTCCCTGCGGTCGGGCCATAAACTTTACCTTCAGGATTAAATGTACTACTTCAGTCCCGCGGTATATAATGTACTATTAATCTAACAAATTTGAAGAAATATGGAGCAAAATATGACAAAACAAGATTTATCATTCAACAGTCCATTGAGAAATTTGGAGGAACAGAGCCTGCCAGAACATATTCCAATTGCCAGGGAACACTCCCCTCTGGTGAATTCAAGTATTGTGTGAGCTTGTTCCTGTTTTCTATAATATTTCTAGAACTGTTGTTTGATCTAACTCTCCTAACACTTTGGAGTTGTTGACCTTCCTGTCTCCATGTCCCTGATCTCAAAGTGTGACATGGCAATTCTGAGTCAACATTCGTACTAGGGCAATATTTTTTTTCTGTGTCATCCATAGTTGATTCATTTTCTAGGATAAAATTATGGAGGACTACACATGCCATTACAATATTTTGACATACATTGTAGTCTGCAATAATATTATTCCTAAGAATCCTCCATCTCTGAGCTAATATGCCAAATGTACTCTCAATTGTTCTCCTTGCCCTGGACAAGCGATAATTGAAAACTCTTTTTTCTTCCTGTAAATTTTTATCAGGGTATGGCTTCATGATGTGCTTATGGAGTGGAAAAGCTGCATCAGCTACAAAGAAGTGTGGAAACTCAATATTTGTATGGGGCAATAGTTTTGGGTGTGGAATATTCATGGTATTGTTCAAAATGGAATGTCCAAAACTTGATTCAGAAAAAACTGTGGAAACATGACATCCCCCAGCTGCTGCTATATCCACTAGAGTAAACTTATAGTGTGCATCACATGCTGCCATCAATACTATACTGTGAGTTTTTTTGTAATTAAAAAATTCACTCCCAGCATTATGTGGAGCCTGTATATATTGACATGTTTCCCATCTATTGCCCCTACACAGTTCGGCATATTCCATTTTGATAAGAACCCATCAATAATAATATTCCACTCTTGTTCTGTTGGTGGCATCAACACTAATGGCTGAAGCGTATCCCACAGTACTTTGGTGGTTTCTTTAATTATTACACTAACTGTTGTCAATCCCAAAAAATGACCAAATGCTATTTCTTGCATTGAACATCCTGAAGAAAGGTAACTAAAAAAAAAGAAATTGATTTATTGTAAACTTGAATATCCTCTATTTCTTCTATTCTCACTGTAAAGTCAAAATGAGCCTATGTGCTGCTGGAATAGGACGTTTACTTGGATCTTTAGTCAGCTTATCCTCTAGCAAAGACAACAGATGGAAAAACAATTTTGGGGTCATTCGACAGTATTTGAAAAAGAGTTCAGTATCTTTGTTGACAAGCATTAGTGCTAATAAATTCCCATAGATTCCTTTATCCTTTCTGAACCTGTTCACTGGTCTCACAGCATATCGCCTTCTCCGCTTTTTAATCAAATAAAATGACATACTGGCAAGAATCAAAAAGAGTGCAATACATTCGTCCTCCATTGCTACATATAAACACCAGTAGTTGAAAGTATATAGGTATAGGTAAAAGTTCAAAATCTTTCAAAAATACAAACGAAAATTTTTTGAAAGAACAAAAAAAAAACAACTAAAAAAGATAGGTTAACAACTATTCTTCTTTGCTTTTACACTGAATACGCATGCGTAGTTTTTGTTAATTATGCTGCATAAAATACCATCAAAACAAAGGTTTAATTTTTATGTAATTCAAGTTTAGTTGAAGTTGAAGTTTGGTTTAAATTGTGCTGCATAAATCCACCCTAAGCTTATTGACGTGAGGCACCACTTTGTAAGAGATGCTATTTCAAATGAACACATCAAAGTACGTTACATGCCTACACATGAAATGCCTGCTGATGTGTTAACCAAAAGTTTAGGTGGAGAAAAACATTGTAAGTTTTTGGAATATTTGGATATTTTTTGAAGCAGATGAGTGGGGATGTTGAAAATCACTTAGCTTCAAAACATTTAGAAATCCTAGGATGTTGCGCCATCTATTGGGAAAGTATATTACTACTATTGCTCCCGGTGGTATAATGTTCTGTATTGATTATATAGGGAGCTGTTTGGATTATTGTGTTGAAAAATGCCTGTTGGTATTGTTGGTAGGTAACCTTTTTTTATTGTCTGAAATAAATATGGCAGTGTCTAGAGAAAATCTCAACGAGAACGTGTGTTTTTTATTTTTCAATAGAACATGGGGTTCTGATGTGGTATATTCTTCGGAATTTCAAATCACTTAGTGTCTCTCATTGGATGTTATCTGTCTCCAATAAATATTTTTTCATAAAATCAACATTCGGTAGAGGTACCTATATTTATTTATCTAACCAATATATTATGATCTGTGACATGCGCATATCTCTCGTCTGGCAGAGGAACGACACGGCGCCATTGTTAGCTTGCTTGCCGTGGATCATGTATCGGTTACTGGACGCGATAATATATGTATCAAACTGATGTGTATGGTTCAGTTTATTCTGTCTTCCCTAAATAACACATGGTGTCAGGTGTAAAGAACGAAAGAAAGTAAAAAACGTGAAAGGTTCTAAAGTGACGAGTGAACCATATTCCAAAGAAAGAACCTTGTGCGTGCAATAGACAAAGGACAAGTCGAACATTGAATCACTGAAAGATTCTAACTAAAGTGATGACCGCAAATAAAGTGGACATTTGGACATAATCGTGAATCGTGAGCACGTGAAATAATAATAATAAAAAAAAAATAATAACTCGAATATAGTTATTGTGGTTGTGAAAAAAAAAATCGTGTCTGAGCATGCGCGTTCGCGTTCGGCGTTTGATATAAACCATAAACAAAACAATCCGCAATCCGCAAAATCGAGATCGTCGCGAAACGAACGAGTCCATACGAAGACGGCCGACAGACAAGATTGAAATATGACATCGACAAATTGACAAACAAGTGGATATCGTGTAAAGTAGAATAGACTGTCATCAGATCCAAAAAGAAGAAGAAGAAGAATAAACTGTCATCAGATCCAAAAAGAAGAAGAATAATAAACTGTCAGCCTATCAGCATAACCAAACCAAAACCTCAAAATTCGAACATGTCTCTGGAAGAGTTGAGCAATAAAAACAAGGAACTAG